CTCTGCTTTTCATCTGTCCATATTGTCGGAAGTTTGACTTCTAAACTTCCTTCGATGAGGGTTAATATTAGGGGAAAGCTTCGAAATCCAATTTCTGGCAATATCTTAATTTGAATTTACAAGGAAATCTAATCGATTCTGAAATAGAACAAATTTAGTTTTTTATATTGGAATTTTTCATGCAAGATTAGGGGAAGCATCGAAATCCAATTTTTGAACATATTTTAATAATTGGATTTTAATTTGATATTAGGGGAAAGCTTCAAAATCAATTTTTGTTTTTTTTTCATTAGATTTCAAAAGGAAATCTAATCGATTTTGAAACAGGAAAAAAACAAAATGATATTAGGGTTTAATATAAGGGAAAAGCTTCGACATCCAATTTTTTGGCCATATTTTATTTAAATTTTTAAAAGGAAATCTAATCGATTTCGAAATAGAAAAACATACATAGTTTTTTTATGTTGGGGGTTTTTATTTGATATTAAGCTTCGGAATCCACTTGTTTGCCATATTTTAATTGGATTTAAAAAGAAAGAAATCTGATCGATTTTGAAATAGAAATATGTGTATATATATATATGTGTGTGTGTGTGTTTTTTATCAGTATTAGGGGGAAACTTCGTACCCTAATACTAAAGACCCCCCCAATACTAAAAACTCCTCCAGGTGTTTGTTATTTGGGTGGGTGGGTGAAGGGGCGACTGTTTAGCAACAGGGGGAAGGGATTAAACCGTTTTTTGTTTCTAATTTCAAAATCCATGAAAATAATCTTTAAATAGAATACTGCCAAGAATAGGATTTCGAAGCTTTCGCCTAGTATCAAATAAAACACCAACACCTGAATTAAAAAAACTAAAATTGACGATCTTAAAGGACGGACCCCAATAAAAGACACCCCGGTGTTGGCTAGTTTTTTATTTGGGGGTGAAACCCTCACATGGTACCTTCATTTTTAAAATTGTTTCCTCAAGGGGGTCAATTAAAATTCAGATTAACCAAGTTGACATTTCCCAAAATTGGAAATCGCACCTAGTTTTTGTCATTTGGGGGTATTTTTCGTAATAGGGAGCAAGGATTAGCAAAAAGAATGCCTGATCATCAAAATGATGCTGATTCTGTGTGTTACCATCTTTTTGCCCACTACAGTGTCTACAGGGTTACAAGGGATGCCGTGCCAGCTAGAGTCCCAAGTCCATTCAACCAACACCCTAATCGATGAAGTTGGACTTGTTGAAATGGAAGTGGGACTGGACCAGTTGACATGGGGCAATGCTGACCTTCAACGGGAGCTTCGGCGCCTGAAGGACAACAGTTTGAAAATTCCGAACCTGAAATATATTTTCAAAATTGCCTTACTAAGAGTGATCCCCACCCTGACACACTATTCTGACATAGTTTCTGACATATCATCTGGACGTATATGTGGCATATATGTTCTGACATACTATCTTACATTCTTTTCTGAGATTCTATTTGACATTCTTTCTGGCATCCTATCTGGCATCTATTCTGACATACTTTCTGGAATATACTATATTCTGATCCTGCCTTGCCATGAGTTTGGGCTGGGAGTGCTTTTATTTGCGTGGATCAATGCCAATGGCTTGAATATCCCCCAAATGTTGGTTTCACATGTTTGCACCCAATGATTGCCATTACCATTGATACCCCAAAATGGCCAGGTCCTGAATTTGAGAGTAGGTCCTGAAAAGTTTTCTGGGTACTGAAAAAACAGGATTTTGGCACAGGGTCTGAAAAAAGACGTAGGTGGAAGATTCAGGTATGCTGTTGGGTTGCAAAGCTGGGTTAATTCAATCTTGTCCTTTCGTTTTTGTTTTTGTCCTTTGCGAGTTGTCTTCAATGTCTACGTAAATTCAATCTTAAAAAATTATATCGTATTTTCAGGCCTAGTGGGCAAGTATGGCGTGTACTGTAACTTCGGAATTCCTTCTCAACATTTCTATATCCTCTGACAGGAGCAACTTAGAGTGTCTCGCAAGTCAATGCCAGGGTGGCGCACTTCACGTCTGCGTTGGCCCGCTTCATGTTCGAGCGGTTGTACTCTGGGGCCGTGCCCCCAACGTGGAAGTTAATATACACAAGGTACATGTGCGCTGCACAGGATGAGCTTTCTTGTGTGAAAGCAGAAAGCATTTGTCGACTGATCTTTCGCCTAGAATCGTAGAATAGCTGTAGAATTGGTGTAGAGGACTCAATCCGAAGACTGTTTGATCCAAGTTGATATTCGAGCGGGAGCAGCTGAATGCGCTGGCAGCTTTGAGCATGAGAGCTCGAGAAGAAGGACGAAGCATTGTCTATTTGCCCAGTAACTTGGCAGGCAGTGAGACAGCAATGCAACAGTGAGAGCCTGCCAAGGCTCCTAGCTAGGATTGTCTCAAAAATAGTTCCTGCGAATCACTTTGTGTTTGCACTGTTTCCACTGTGGTACAAGGTCACAAGAGCCACATTGATTACCTCGTCTTGCAGCTTCTTGTCACCATATCAAGAGTCTCAAGTGTCTGTAGTGTGCTTCCGCAATTCAGACTTCCACAATCAACGAAGTTGCCATGAGACTTTGAAGCTGCAAACAAAAAGGGATCCTATGGATGCAATGGCCTTGCCTGTCGTTTTTACAGACCCGCAGAACATTTATATTATTTTAGATTACCAGTAGTACCGCACAAGGCGGTGGCGGAAGTTTCAAAAATAGGAAACCTATAGGAGAGGTTGGTTGTTGTGAATCAGGGATGGCAGAGCGAAGCCACTGATGGACCAAAAGGTGCTTGAGGTCTCCTCTCTCTCTCTCTCTCTCTGACTATCTACCTCCCTACCTACCTACCTACCTACCTATCTATCTATCTATCTATCTATCCATGTATCTATTTGTCTATCGATCTATCTCTCTCTCTCTCTCTCTTCCATCTAATTACCTATCTATCTATCTATCTATCTATCTATAATCTATCTATCTATCTATCTATCTATCTGTCTATCTATCTATCTATCTATTATCTATCTATCTATCTATCTGTCTGTCTGTCTGTCTGTCTGTCTATCTGTCGACCTGTCTATCTGTGGTGCAGTGTCATTCAGTGTGATGTAGTGCAGTGTAATGTAGTGTAGTGTAGTGGAGTGTAGTGGAGTATAGTGGAATGTAATGTAGTGTAGTGTAATGTAGTGTGATTTAGTGTAGTGTAGTTGTGTAGTTGTGGTTGTAGTTGTAGTGTAGTGGAGTGTAGTGTAGTGTAATGTAATGTAGTGAAGTGTAGTGGAAGGTAGTGTAGTGTAATGTAGTGTAGTGGAGTGTAGTGTAGTGTAATGTAGTGCAGTGTAGTGTAGTGTGCTTTAGTGTAGTGGAGTGCAGTGGAGCGCAGTGGAGTGTAGTTGTGTAGTTGTAGTTGTAGTTGTAGTTGTAGTGTAGTGGACCGTAGTTGTGTAGTTGCGTAGTTGTAGTTGTAGTGTTGTGGAGTGTAGTGTAGTGTAATGTAGTGTAGTGTAGTGGAGTGTAGTGTAGTGTAATGTAGTGTAGTGCAGTGAAGCGAAGCGAAGCGACATCTGAACCTCCAAAAGTGGTCCGAACTCCTGGTGTTTTGTACATTTTGACTTCGAAATGTGCTTCGCGCCACAACGGCGCGCACTTTTTCGACATCTGAACCTCCAAAAGTGGTCCGACGCTGCGGTGTTTTGTACATTTTGACTTGGAAATGTCCTTCGCGCCACAACGGCGTGCACTTTTTCGACATCTCAACTGCCAAAAGTGGTCCGAGCATGGTGTGTTTTGTACATTTTCATTCAAAATCTGCTTTGCGCCACAACAGCGTGCAATTTTTCATCTCTCCTCTCGCCAGCTGGCTCCGTACCGCCGCTTTAGCGAGCCTACTTTTCGACCCCCCAGAGCCACAAATCATTGGAAAAACACAGCGTTTCGCGACTTTCCTACCTTTTCTCGCATCTGCATCTTTTTTCTTCTTACTCTTTCTCTTCTACTCTTCTTTCTTCTAATCTTTCTCTTCTCTCTGCCTCTTCCCTGCTCTGCTTTTCATCTGTCTATACTGTCGGAAGTTTGACTTCTAAACTTCCTTCGAAAACTATAATCAGAGAATGTAGTGCAGGGCTGTGGTTTGTAGTCGGGTTCTGCAACGATTTGCATATTTGATTTTGCCACAGCTGCTACAACGGTTGCTTTGCTTCTTCTTCGTATTCTTCGCCTTGGGTTTGTTTGTAAGGTTCTCGCTCTGGAATCTAGGATTGGGCGCGCCTGCAATAGCTGCCGGTGAAAATCTGAATCTTCCCATGGTTGGTTCGTTCTTTGGACGCAAGAGAACCTCCACAGATTGAGAGGCAGATTGAAGGTTCAGTGCTGACTGTAGAGTCAAGTGAAGCTTTTGAACATGATGAGGCTGCTTCGTGCAGAGCTGAGTGTCAGAGCCACCAATGTGCTCGATTCATCTTGATTCATATGGTCGCTCCTGGCACGAAGTTGCGGGAATGATTGAATGTTTGTATTTGCAACATTTTGCAACAGTCGCCACAAACTCCAGATATGGCATGATTCGCAAACCTTTACCCAGCAATCACGAGCAGGTCTTTTGACTTCATTGGTAGACAATTTCTTTGAAATGATTCGGGGCACAGCATCTGTGACAACACTGAATGCACTGCGGGAACCCACGACAGAAGTGATCGACCAAAGGAACAGGACAAGTACGCTCTGGGCGAATGAGTTGCCACAGTTGCCCATGTTTGCTCCTGACTAATTATTCTCTTGAACAGCAGCGCCAGGTGCTTGCAAATTACTGTACTGAAAGATACTTATAGAATGTTAACGACACTCGAAAACATATGGCATATGCCAGCGTCGCATTTCTGGTCGGTTGCGAAAACATACAAACACTATTATTGCATTTGGTAATTCTTGGCGTCAACAGAAACATCTCCTTCCAAGATCAGCCTCAGCGGACAACAGCTTTTGCACAATGTTGGCCAGCAGCTTTACAACCGAGCAGCATGTCATTAGCTTCTACTTTTTAATCTTCTGCAATGGGTGAACAGATGTCGATTTCTGACAACAGAAGGATGGGTAAGTCCGGGTAAGTGTTGATGAATCTTCTTGCACGATTATACAAGGCCGAAATGGAGCTTTCTACATCCGCAGGACCCAATTCACAGCATGATCCAACTGAAGACCTTGTAGTAGGGCACACTGCAAGTCTTGGGGGACAAACTTGATCTAATCAATGAGACTAGAGGTGTTTGCCATGTTTCTGTTTGACTGGAGTCTGGAGATACACATGATACGCGCAAAAGCGTTCCTTTGTTTGGATGTGATTTTACCTTCAATTTCTTTTAGCAGCGAAGTCACATCACATTCCCGCTGCTGGCACTGCGAGAGAGGAGCTTCGGTGGTGAAGATAGCGAGTTGTATTCCACTGTTGTGGCCGTGTGCCTTTCTCGCAACTTATGAGCGTTCTCATTGTGTGGGGAAGACATTACTCTAAACTTCAGAGAAATTGACAGAGCCTTGATCTATTGCTTTAATCCATGTCTATCAAGCAGCTGACTATGGAGGAATTTAGAATTCTTGAGAAATCAAGATTTTGTTGCTCTAATTAGCTGGTTCAGCTTTTGGTTCCTGACTGTTAGCTGCTTGACAATTTTGATAGCTTGCCATGGTTGTTTTTGTTTTTTGTTGTTTTTTGAGTGCGAGGACAACCCAAACAAGCCAATTGCAAAGAATTGTCTTATGAATTTCAACAGCCAGATGAAAGCATTGGCAGCATCAGAAAACAGGAAGAGCGTTAGGACTCAGGACGCAAAGAATGTCAAAGTAGAAAATGCACAGATGCTATGGGAACATATCCAAGCGAAAGCCAAGCCCTTCTTTGCAGCCCAGCATTTCAAGCTGGCCACGATGTCACCGAATGACACCGAATATTGAATGTGGGGCCTGTGGGGCTCTTTTGACAAGTGTGCATCTAGAGGCTTAAGCTGTTGACGGTGGTTTTTGCTTTCAAAGTGCAGCAAGCGGTACGACTCCTGACGCCTCGTGCCACGGCAAAACGTACAACCAGTTCCCGACCTGCGTTGAAGCCTCCATCCAGGGGCAGGAAAGGATTGTTGGAGACTTGAAATGCGAAGACACACAACAGTGGCATATCAAACCTGGAAACCTGGGAATCCCAGAAGCAAGGATCTGATAGGGGAAGGCAGTTTGTGCTGAAGCCCTGAGCCTCTTTGGCACCTTGCAAGCCTGAGACTGACTCTTTGGTCTCAGGCAAAAAGGCTTCACACATTTAAACATATTTTAACCATTTCAACATTTTCAGTGCTTCTTCCACTTCGTTGAAGTCTTGCAAACCATTTCCGAGGTACTTGGAGGGCTTACTTCGTCGAGGAGCAAATGTGAAATTCTTTTCCGAGGGTGGTCGCAGCCGCAGTGGCAAGTTGTTGCTCGTCAAGCCACCTTGGAAGCGCTTCAAGTAGTATCACATATTTCCATTTGTCTACCTCGTCCATCACTTATATACTCCCTTCACCCTATTACTAACCCCCCCAATGGTAAACATGGTGATCTATGTTTATAATTAAGGGGTATTTTGTATTGGGGGTCTACTTTGCTTTACTATTTAAAACTAACATTTGCTATTTCAAAATTGATCATATTCCTTTTCAAAATCTAATTACAATATTGCCGTTCGAAGGTTCCTCTAATATTAAATCAAACACCTATCTACAAAAAATCTATTTCAAAATCGATTGATTTCCTTTTCAACACCTAATTAAGATATTGCCACAAAATGGATTTCGAAGGTTCCCCTAATGTTAGATTAAAAACCATAATTAAAAAACAAACGTTTTCTATTTCAAAATCAATTAGTTTCCTTTTCAAAATCTAATGACAATATTGCCAACAATTGGATTTCGAATTTCGAAGGTTCCTCTAATAATATTGAATTAAAAACATCAAGTAAGAAAAATCACAATTTCTATTTAAAAATGGGACCCTGATAATAAAACACCCGGTGTGATTCTAATTTTATTAATAGAGGGTAAAAACCGCTATTTCATCATCCTGTGCTCCTATTGATTCTCAACTGCCACAATTAAGAACGCAATTGTAAGCAACCAAACAAACCCCAAAGTGCCAATTCAATTCTATTTTTATGAACTGGGGGAGTTTTAGTAATGCCTTGAGGTTACAACCCAAGATTGGCTTGCTCGGCATGATCGTGGACCCTATTCTCTATGGAGTGGTTGAAGATGCGTACATCGTGCCTGTTTCCATCTACTACGACGGGGATCTTTGGTTGCAGAATGAAACCCGAAACAACATGAAACAAGCGCATTTTGTGATTGAAACAAAACAACATAAGACAACTAACTGCTCGCGTTCCAGTGATGTGGCCACGCTGTGGTGCGCAACGTGTGCTTCATATGGCAACCGTTTTCCCAGGTGATGGAAACTGAGAGCTATGTGCGTGAGCTGTTGGGAAGCGCTAAGCGAAAGGCACGCATAACACGGTCCGTCGTTGGCTTGAATGGCAACGCAAGACTTTTATACATGAGCATGTGTACTCGCAATGTGCCCTGCTTTTGCTGCAGTGCTTTTGTTTTTTTTGGCCCGAATCATACTAATTGCAAGTGTTTCTGGAACATCATGTATTCTTGCAATGCAGGAAAGCCTCATTGGTGTCCTTGGACAAGGAAAGCACCTATTGGCAATGCCTCGCTCACGTTTTGGATGCTCTGCACAGAGCTTTATCTTGTGGGAATCAGCCGAGAATGTGAATGCGTGAATTGCGAAGCTCTTTTTAATCTTAACTTTTCCGGCTCAGGAAATATACATGTTCGATTTGCTCCTGGATTTAGCGCAAAGAGCCACTCTGGCTTGTGGGGCTGGTGCTAGTTGCAATTGACTTGGCTGAACAATCAAGCCTTACTCATGCGAAGAATTTCAAAAGCTGTCCCTGTTTAGGCTACATTGAGAACCTCATCGCCTTGCAGCAATCTTCAGTGACTAGGGCCAACTTCAATCCTCGGATCTCTCCCGGAGACAAGGGCATCCTATTGAAGGTGCCGGACGCATGGAGTTTTGTCCGTTTTGTGGTCCACCTATTGACAAGCCTCTCTCCGGAAAGAGCTTTTAATTCTGCGAGGGGCGTCAATTTGACATTCCATGTTTCTGGACAAATGTACAGTGTAGACATTTGTGGACACAAGACAAGAACTTCTTGGCATTGAGCGTCATACAGCTTAATTAATGATCTTTATGCTTGGCGTTTTGCGTTTTCTCACAGAGACACAGACAGAGAGAGAGAGAGAGATATCGCATCATATCGCACTCTGAGGCACTGGCCTACCATGTGTTGGAAGAGATCAATCGATCCTCCAGCGTGACCCCAACTGCCCTGGTCTGTCCCCAAGTACTTGTGGCATGATTTGTGTGACACCACGCATCTCAATCATATTTAGCTGGGTAGAGTCGAACTGAGAAAGCAGAGCCAACAAACGATGCTGCCAATGTCATTTTGGGCATTTAACCTAAATCAATCTCCAGCGGGCAAGGCTGCCAGCTCTCAATCCTTTTTTGGCTCAAGGGAGCTTCAGCGAACCAGCACGCAACGTAACCGGGAATTCCTGAAGATCCGATCAATGACCGTGCCTCAAGTGGGAGACAATCGTCTTGAATCCTGGCTGCATACAAAGTTGAGTGACACTTCTTATATTTTTCCAATGGAGTTGAGTTTACAATTTGCATTTCTTTTGAGCAGTTGTACCTGGTTGTACTCTCATCGCTGAGAATCCGTGAAGACTTGAAATGTGTGCAGGAAGCCTCCAATGGCAAGTCATTCAATTTGGAAGTCGCATTTGCAGACTTTCTGGCTGACGAGACGCGGACCGAGCTTGCCCTGCCCCCGATGACAACAGAGCAGAGGAAAGAAGCCAAGAGGCACCATCGATGCAAACAATGAGAAATAAACAAAAGAGGAAGACACAGATGCAAAGAACATAAAGTAGCCGAAGAGGGGAAAAGCAAGTCAAGAGGCCAAGAGTAGAATATATAGAGTAGATACTGACTAATAGGAGAGGGAAATGAGTTACAGCCGCAGCTGTTCTAAGATGGATTTTCATCTAGTAATCATCTACGATGTTTTTTTTTACTTCTTCTTCACTTCTGTTGAGTAATGAAATGGTAGTGAAACGCGGGGTTGCGTCGAGGGCAATGACTGGGGTTGTTTTGTGGTGCCAGGCTGGCAGAGCAGTATCCAGTCACTTGGGAGCAACTTTGCGACTGCAATTGTTTCACAAAGAAAGATGACAGAATGAAAAAACATATATACTTAATTAAGATGTTACATAAAATATCATAAAAATTAACAAAAGGAAGCTGAGAAGCTCAGTGCAGAATGTGCAAAGCGTTTAGTCGCAATGTCCGCTTTGTTAATCTTTGTGGGTTCAGGACATCAAGTGCGAGAGCTTTGGCTTTGGCGAAGAGCGCCGGCTTCATCTCTTCAAGACTCAAAATGGAACTGCCCCAACAGGCGTGGAGTGAATTCGCTCTTGGACCATCAATAGTCTAGCCAGTCTGGCCAGTCTAGCCAGGCTAGCCTATACTATGCTCATGTCCTGACATGGCAATCTTCATGCCAATAACATCCAAATAACCTTAGCCCCTTCTTCAGAATTCATTAAGCATGTTGACGAACAAACATTGTGCAAAGAACATTTGATTTGCGCCCGAGCACCTGCGTTTCCTGGAACTTGACGCAGGCTTGACAAGGACTGGCTCCGAGAAATCCACGACTGCTTCTGAAGTTGACACACCTAGCACAGCAAACACATCGCATGAGGCCACCAGGGAATCCTATGGAATCCTGCTTGGGTCAATTCGGCTCTGACGGTGAAGTTTAGTGAAGGGACTGCTGCCTTTTTCCTTGTAGAACTGCACAGCTACAAAGGTTATTTGAGTGCATGCTCCCCTGGTGTCTAGCATTTCGAACTTTGCCACAAGCAACTAAACGCAGTCTCGCACACACACACACTGCTGATTGAGTAAGCAACTTCCTCCGTAATTGGAACGTTATAATGATATATAATGATGATGTTGTCTTCGCCTTAATGCTCCTAAGAAGTCATCCTGACAGCACTAGACCGCATGAAAGTAGCAAAACCATGCAAAACCTGAAACTTTCACTTTCGCAAACAGCCTGAGCGAAGAACGTGTGATCACACACAAATTGAAATGCAGGCAATCACACACACACACAAATTGAAATGCAGGTACGTGACTCCAGCGTCCCAGAGTCATATCAGTTTTGAAAGAAGAAGCCCTTTTCGTTGGGCAATCAGCTGCAAACATGAGATTGACCCCCCCTGCTTAGATAAACTCATGATCATAATTCTTGACCGCATGATAGCTAGCGGTTTACACACATTGCCATTCCCCAGCTACATGGATGTATGGACATACACATGTGATGCATTCACGGGGAGTTACATACTGCATATGTTACATAGTCTGCACGAATATGTAAAGATGTACTTGTCGAAAGAAGTTTAGAAGTCAAACTTCCGACAATATGGACAATTGAAAGGCAGAGATGGGAAGAGTCAGAGAAGAGAAGAGAAGAGAAGAAGATCAAAAAGAGAAAGTCTCAGAAGAAAGAAGATCCAGGTGCACGAAAAGGTAGGAAAGTCGCGAAACACTGTGTTTTTCCAATGATTTGTGGCTCCGGAGGGTCGAAAAGTAGGCTCGCTAAAGCGGCGGGTGCGGAGCCAGCTGGCCAGGCACAAAAAAGTGATGCCAGGTCATACGAAGTGCTGCACTTGTCACGCAAAATCATCTCAGCAAATCTGAAGATCTGATGCTCCAAAATGCAACCCTTCTCAGGAAATCAGCGCCCTGACCTCCTAACAGCTGGTCTCTTGTATTGCGCCTGCCACGGAAAATGCATCTTTGCAGATCCAGTTCACATGTTCCACACCTGCCATCGTTTTTGGAAATGCTACAAAACCCTCACGTTTTGCTCACTTTTGACAAGGTGCCCAATCCCTTGCGCCTGCCACGCAAAACGGCACCTGAACGCCCAAAAGTGGTGTGAACATGTGGTGTTTTGTACATTTTGACTTCGAAATGTGCTTCGCGCCACAACGGAGTGCACTTTTTCGACATCTCAACTTCCAAAAGTGGTCCGAGCATGGTGTGTTTTGTACATTTTGACTTGGAAATGTGCTTCGCGCCACAACGGCGTGCACTTTTTCAACATCGCAACTTCGAAAAGTGCTCCGAACCTGCGTGTTTTTAGCTTTTTCACTTGCAAATGTGCTTTGCGCCACAACGGCGTGCACTTTTTCGACATCTCAACTTCCAAAAGTGGTCCGAACATGGTGTGCTTTGTGCATTTTGATTTCGAAATGTGCTTCACGCCACAACGGCAATTTTTAATCTCTCATCTGGCCAGCTGGCTCCGCGCCCGCCGCTTTAGCGAGCCTACTTTACCCTCCAGAACCACTAATCACCAAAGAAACACAGTGTTTCGCGACTTTCCTACCTTTTCGGGCACCTGGATCTTCTTTCTTCTTAGACTTTCTCTTTTTGATCTTCTTCTCTTCTCTTCTCTTCCCTTCTCTTCTCTTCTCTTCCTCTTCCTCTTCCTCTTCCTCTCCTCTTCTCTTCTCTTCCTCTTCCTCTTCCTCTTCCTCTGCCTCTGCCTCTTCCTCTTCCGCATCCCTTCCCCTTCCCTTGCCCCGTCCCCTTCCGTCCCCTTCCCCTTCCCGTCCCCTTCCGCCTTCTTTACCCCTTCCCCTTCCCCTTCCCCTTCCCGTCCCCGCCCCTTCCCCTTCCCCTTCCCCGTCCCCTTCCCCCTTCCCTTCCCTTCCCTTCCCTTCCTCTTCTCTCTCTTCTCTTCTCTTCTCTTCTCTTCTTTGACTCTTACCACCTCTGCTTTTCATCTGTCCATATTGTCGGAAGTTTGACTTCTAAACTTCCTTCGACAACTACCACTACATTACAGTACACTACGCTACATACACTACACTAGACTACACATACTACACGACACGACACAACACGACACTACACTAATTACACTAATTACACTGCACTACACTACAGCTACAGCTACACTACCCTACACTAGACTACACTACACTATACCACACTACACTACACAACACTACACGACAATACACTACACTAATTACACCACACCACGACTACAACTGCAACTGCGCTTGCCAAAAATTAATTACACTACATTACAGCTACAGCTCCAGTACACTACACTACAACTACAGCTACAGCTGCAACTACAACTGCACTACACCACACTACATCCAGCAGTTGTGGTAAGGTGACCACTGCAACCATTGCAACCATTCCAAAAAACACAACTCCAACCACCTTTCGGTCCATCAGTGGATTCGCTCCGCCATCAGTGAGTCACAACAAACAACCCTCCCTATAGGTTTCCTATTTTTGAAACTTCCGCCACCGCCTTGTGCGGTACTACTGGTATAATTAACCCTATATATATATGTATATATGTATATCACCATATATAATAATATATTAAGATATTGTATATATATATAAATATCATCCTTACATATGCACACACCCACACATCTTCAAGTAGAGGTGTTCTCAGCGTATTGCCATAAAAGCTTTGTGTTCCAGGTGGCTGGAGCTCAAGCCGCTCGCAACTGTGATGATTTTAGAAAGAATATGAACCATCTTTATCAGGAGATGCATAAGACTCAGCAATTAAAGCGTTCTCATTCTACACACGCACAGCATGGGTGGAGGGTTTTGGTACACACACACACACGCACATGCACGCACTCTTGAGTTTGTATATACATGATCATATGCAAGCATGGCTGTTTATACATATACGTATATATACATAGATGTATCTATCTCTATATATTTAATTACATAGGTAGATGCATACACAGGTTCTGGATGCAATGTAATGTAATTATGCACCACAAGAATTTAACAAGACTCAACAGGATGCAGATTCCGTTTTGGTAATCACCAAGCAGCGTTATTTTGATGCCTAAAATGCTGCCTGCACAGTCGACAATGAAGATGATCCAAACATCGCTCCACTGTCTGAAGAGCATAATGCCTGCATTGCAAAGATGTTTCCCTGAATATACTGTTTGTATTTGTATGCACCTTTGGATTTTTTACACGGTCAGCATGCACACACACATGTATATCGGAGATGTCTGTAGACTCTTTTGCGCCTTGTCATTCGGTTTCACACCGGCATGCACACACACACACACTCCCACATATATACCACATGAAAGGAACATGGTAAGAGAAACAGACTGACAAATGCACATGCACCTTTGCAAAGTATGCAGCATGTGCAGAAACTATTCGTTTATGTATCCATAC